CATTGTCATCCTCATTGCCATCGTCATTCCCATTCCCATTCCCATTGTCATTCCCATTGCCACTGCCATTGTCGTCATTCCCATTCCCATTTCCATTCCCATCCCCACATTCCCATTCCCATTCCCATTGTCATTGCCACTTCCATTGTCATTGTCATTCCCATTCCCATTGTCATTGTCATTCCCATTCCCATTGTCATTCCCATTCCCATTGTCATTCCCATTCCCATTGTCATTCCCATTCCCATTCCCATTGTCATTGTCATTCCCATTCCCATCCCCACATTCCCATTCCCATTCCCACATTGCCATTGCCATTGCCATTGCCATTGTCATTGTCATTGCCATTGTCAATCCCATTCCCATTCCCATTCCCATTCCCATCCCCACATTGCCATTGCCATCCCCATCCCCACATTCCCATTGCCATTCCCAGAGTTTGGCTGGTTTAGAGAGGAATTCTGAGCTGCAGAAGGGAATTGCTGTGATCTCTGGGGGAATATGAGGGGATATAATGGGAATATGAGGGATATGAGGGATATAATGGGAATATGAGGGATATGAGGGGATATAATGGGAATATGAGGGATATGAGGGATATGAGGGATATAATGGGAATATGAGGGATATGAGGGAATATCAGGAATATGAGGGATATAATGGGAATATGAGGGATATGAGGGATATGAGGGATATAATGGGAATATGAGGGATATGAGGGAATATCAGGAATATGAGGGATATAATGGGAATATGAGGGATATGAGGGATATGAGGGATATGAGGGATATGAGGGATATGAGGGATATGAGGGATATGAGGGATATGAGGGAATATCAGGAATATGAGGGGATATAATGGGAATCTGAAGGGAACATGAGTGGGAATGAATGTGTTCGGGAGCACGGATGGGAATGTGATGGGAATGTGGATCGGGGCTGTTCCCCTGGCACAGAAGCCGAGTGCAGATTTGTTCTGGAGCCACAGCCAGCTGTCCCAGGAGCCCCTTCGCTCACCCCCAGCTCCGTTTTCCAGGATTAATCATTAAGATCATTAAGAAAAGTAAGGAACCGAGCGCTGTCAATATTCCCCATCACGGAGTAAATAAAAACTGGGAATCTTTGAGGATTGAACTCCCAACCTTTCATCTCGGGAAATCCTCCTGAGCTTTTCCCCTGCGGCCCTTGGGGATGTCCCGGAGTTATCCCGACATTCCAGGGGGCATTCCCGGGAATGGCTCACCTGGCACTTGCCGGTGCGGATGTCGTAGAGCGCCACGGAGCCGTGGCGAGCGCCCACGGCCACGCGGTGGCTGCGCTCGTAGTAGCTCACCATGTAGAACCTGAGGAGAGCGGGGACAGCAGAGCGGGATTGATGAAATCTGGGATAGACAGGAGCAGGACGGGATTTGTTCATCTGGGATAATCCCCCATCCCTGGGAGTGCTGGGACACCTCAGCGAAGGGGAAGCCGAAGAGCGCTTCCGGAGCCTTCCGTGACTCCGGGGCGTTTCCCGGGAAAGCCAAACGGAGAAGAAGGGAGAGGGAAAGTGCCCATCGAACGCTCTCCACTCCAACCTTGGCTAAAGCTGCAGTGACCCCGAACAGCCATTCCAGAACATTCTCTGGAATGCCAAATCCATGGAATTCCAGCACCTCCAAACCCTCACTGTGAACTGCAGTTCTGGGGTACGACAGTGAGAGCGGGCCCGTGCCAACCGCGCTCCGGAACCCCGCCCTTCCATCCTCCCCTAGGGAAAACCGGGAATTGCTGGGATCGCTCTCCCGCAGCCTGAGCTCCAAGGAGCCATCCTGCAGATTTCCCTCCCGGCTCCCCGGCATTCCCAGCGCCATGGCAACTGCACAGGATGGAGCTGGGAAAAAACACCGGGAAAAAACAGTAATGGAGAAAAAATGAAGAGTTTTGGTGCGGGGAAAAGGGAAAACTCAGCTGAGGGGAAAGGGAAAACAGCTCAGGGGAAAGGGAAAACTCAGCTGAGGGAAAAGGGAAAACTCAGCTGAGGGAAAAGGGAAAACTCAGCTGAGGGAAAAGGGAAAACTCAGCTGAGGGAAAAGGGAAAACTCAGCTGAGGGGAAAGGGAAAACTCAGCTGAGGGAAAAGGGAAAACTCAGCTGAGGGGAAAGGGAAAACTCAGCTGAGGGAAAGGGAAAACTCAGCTGAGGGAAAAGGGAAAACTCAGCTGAGGGAAAAGGGAAAACTCAGCTGAGGGAAAAGGGAAAACTCAGCTGAGGGAAAAGGGAAAACTCAGCTGAGGGAAAAGGGAAAACTCAGCTGAGGGAAAAGGGAAAACTCAGCTGAGGGAAAAGGGAAAACTCAGCTGAGGGAAAAGGGAAAACTCAGCTGAGGGAAAAGGGAAAACAGCTGAGGGAAAAGGGAAAACTCAGCTCAGGGAAAAGGGAAAACTCAGCTGAGGGAAAGGGAAAACTCAGCTGAGGAAAAGGGAAAACAGCTGAGGGAAAAGGGAAAACTCAGCTGAGGGAAAAGGGAAAACTCAGCTGAGGGAAAGGGAAAACAGCTGAGGAAAAGGGAAAACTCAGCTGAGGGAAAAGGGAAAACAGCTCAGGGAAAAGGGAAAACTCAGCTGAGGGAAAAGGGAAAACAGCTGAGGGAAAAGGGAAAACTCAGCTGAGGAAAAGGGAAAACTCAGCTCACATGCAGTCCCTCCCCGAGGTGCTGCCCGTGCTTTTCCCGCTCCTTCCATCCAAGGATTTTCAAGGAAGGCTGGGACAGGAGAGGGATTAACAGTGGGATGCAGGACAAGTGCTTCCAGCTGGAATCTCTGCAGAGAAATCCCCCTGGATCACTTTTACACCGGCTGTGAACAGGAAACGTTCCCAGGGATTGCAGGGAATTCTAAACACATCCACAGGAACAGGGAGGTCGGGCACTCATTCCCGTTTATCCCTGCCTTTGTGTTTGAAGGAAAACCTCAGGAAGGAGGGAGATCGCTTCCATCACGTCCAGCCTGCCAAGAGGATAACTGCTCTTTCCTTGGAGCCAGCCCATATTTTAATAGGTAATTAAATTAAAATTTAATTAAGGGTGATTATTGGGATCTATCAGCTGGAGAGGTTTAAGAGGATGACTGGGATATTTATTTATCCACTGGGAATGCTCCCATTTTATAAATCACCTCTCACTCCTCCTCGGGTCACTAAAGGAGCGTTTCACTCCTAATTAGGAATTATGTATTGTGTATTAATATGTATCATGTATTAATAGGAAATATGTATCATGGATTAATATATATCATGTATCAATATGTATTATGTATTAATATGAAATATGGATTAATGTGAAATATGGATTAATATGAAATAGGTATTAATATGAAATATGTATTATATATTAATATGAAATATGGATTAATATGAAATATGTATCATGTATTAATATGTATTATGTATTAATATGAAATATGTATTATATATTAATATGTATTATGTATTAATATGAAATATGTACTATATATTAATATGAAATATGTATCAATATGAAATATATATCATGTATTAATATGAAATATGTAGACTGTATTAATATGAAATATGTATCATGTATTAACGTGAAAT